CCCCAAAACCCCAAAACCCCAAAACCCCAAAACCCCATGTCATTTACCAACAGTTGGAACTCAATAAAATTTAACAAAGCTAATCTGGACTTTTTCTACAAAATTAGTTTACTGAGATAATCAATAGGAAGGAAATCTGAAACTCTCTTAAAATTCTTTAATCAGTTGGTGATCTATCAAAGAAGAATTCCTGTTAGAGGGAAGATCACTAGGTACTATTCCAGACACTCCTCTGATTTCTTCCGAAGAGGGATTTATATTCTGTGAGGCTTCGATCAATACTTCATTTTGAGTTGCTTCTGACTTACTGGAACGATACAATTTATCCGTTATCTGCCATTCTTTTAGGACAAGCAGGAAAAAGTAATAACTAGCTCCAACAAGAACTGCTAATATTATAAAATAACACACAAGAGGGGATAAATCTATTCTTGGATCAACTGGCTGTTCGGACAAACTTATGATAACATCGTCAAACTCAGAGCACTGGGAAGTATCATTTCCTTGAAAAGTTGGTATAAAATATTGGCCAATCCTCATGCGTATGCAGTCTGATTTATCTGTAAAAGCACTTAATCCTTGGGTTGCAATGATTTTGTTAATCACCCCAAGTTATTTCTTCGCATACATAGCCATAAGTTGCTGGAAGCCATAGTCAAGTTCAGTTACCAAGTCTCTAGAAAAGCCTCTAAATTCATTGAACAGTTTGGTTAGTAAACGTTCTGGGGTTATTCAACTCAAAGTGTTACAATGAAAGAACTCCAAAATGGCAAATACCAAGTTATTTGAGAAAGCTAAAATTTTTGTGAGCGAAATGTCATACGTTTGATATCCGTAAATTAAAAAGCCTGTTGATCTGACTAAAGGAACTAAGAACTTCATATGTCGGTCAAATACACCAAGGGTTCTATATATTCTCAAGTCAGGTGCACTCCGAAATCTGTCTAGTGTCAGTGAAAAAGAAACTGGCATTGAGAGTATCAGTATGAGCAATATAACCAATTTGAATGACTTTCCCATTTTATGTAATATTTATTTCAAAGCGATCTTTAAGTTTGGGGTTTTGGGGTTTTGGGGTTTTGGGGTTTTGGGG